AGCTACTAGTAACAAGTGCATCGCTACTAGTAACAAGTGCCTTACTACTAGTAACAAGAAGCTACTAGAAACAAGTGCATCGCTACTCGTAACAAGTGCCTTACTAGTAGTAATAAGAAGCTATTAGAAACATGTGCAAACAGTTTTTTTGTGAATCCAATGATGGATGCCTCACGACCGGCCTTGCCAACCCGCGCAGTGGCCTCTTGCGCTTCGACCTTGGCCTTGGAGATGGCAATTTGGTCACATGTTTCAAAGTCTCAGGATCCGTCGATCTATTTCTCTCTGAAAAATCCGCTCTGCAGTCTAGACTTTGAGCAACTGCGCAGTCTTTTGGTATCTCAAGTTTTTTGGAGAATTGGCCCAGCTTTTTGCATTGCAATGTCTCACTGACAAGCCGAGTGCAGACTCATGTCAAATTTCGACGTTTATCTTTGCAAATGTCGAGTATAGAGATCCGAGGTTCGGCGGTTTTGAACGAGTGGCTTAGGCTAATGTGTCGAGGGCGAGCTTGGCACCAAAGCAAAGCTCTTTGCTACGAACCCGAGAGAAGTCAAAATGCGGAGAGCGACCAGCTTCGACACGCTGAAAGCATGATAAAGCAAGATAAATGTCACCGAACATATAAAGGGACACTCAGGGCTGATAAAGAGTTGAGAAGGTTGTGTATGACATCAGAAGCAAGCTCAAACAACCATGGGCAAGATGAGCAAAACGCTTCAACATGCTTTATCCTTGCACAACAACCCCTGTTCCTTCAGCCACCTCTGTTCGAAAACGGAGCTCATGAGAAGCACGGTGAAGTGTCAAATTTGATATATAATACAGTATATGTCCCCGGTGATTTATGTATTCCTTCTACAGCCAGAATGAAACAAAAAAGTGTTGGTTTATGAACTGTCTTGAGGGTGTGAGTGATGTCGTCCACCTACTCTATTGTTTGAGATTCACTTGGGGTCTTTGCCACAGCCAAACTCGTTAAGTCAGAAGCCATGTGGAATTAAAAAGACGAACAAGATGAAGGTGAAAGGGAAAGGAAGCGAGGCAGCAAGCCTCTTGCAACTCCGCTTGCAACCTTTTCATGGAGTCGAGCGTTGAAACAAATGTAGCCTAATGTAGCCTCGAACAATCTACTGTGAATGTTCCAGACAATGAACCGACAGTTGCGGTTAAGCACATCTATTCGACCATTCCAGACAGGTCAATGGGTGAAAGCTCGGCTTCCGAGACAATCGAACCAGTTGACACACGCCCACAGATCCGAACACGAACGTAGATGTACTTGCGTTCTTCGTTCGCACAAGCGATCCAAAAACTGCAAGTCTCTAAAGGGACAAACGAACGAGACAAGAACCTCCGTCTCATTCACCATTCTCCCACAGCGTAGTATGGGACCGGCAGGGCGCTCACTGCATCGATGGCGCAACCAATACGCACAGTTCGGATCTGATTGCCATTGACAAACCACTGTAAGCCCGACGCATGGGACGCGAGAAAAAACACGTATGGGACACCGAGACCGGGTCCCCGTGCCTGGCCCAGTGCGATGATTGCGTCGGCGGCCTGAGCAGAAGCCACATCCACCTGATCGACTCGGATCGACTCAACATAAGTGTAGTGTGAGTGCAAAGTGCAACACTCTTGCTTCATCATAGTTCTGATTCAACATGAACAAATATGAATCAACTATAATCAACTTCTATTAGAATCAAGTGCAGTGAACCTGCCGAGAGAAAATGACCCGAGCGGCACTGTGTGTGGCCTCGGTCATCAAGCCGCCAGTGCCCTGGGAGAGGCCACCATCCTTCGAGGCCAAGCGTGCCGAATCCATGGCCTGGTCAAAGAATCGATCCCCTGCCATTCTTGTCAGAAGACATCGCACAAGCTAAAAGCTGGGTTGCACAGTCCACTAAAGAGTTTACAATATTCTACGAAGCAGCAAATCCAGCTGCGTGCATTGGCAAAGAGTGGTTTTCCAATCGCTCTCCAACACCTTGAGGCAACTTGGGAGGTTCGTCTCCTGTCCTTGTTTTTTTTCAGGGTCGAGTCTATACTGGCTAGGGAGTGGACATGCTGTCCCCCAGCTCTATGGAAAGCCTGATGTATAGCAGGTCAATTTGTCCGGTTCTTCCACTTTGCAGCGTCAGTGCGGATGGCAGGTTCCTCTTGTGGGCGCTCTGTTCTTGCGGTGTCCAGTAAACACAACATATGCACTAACTCACCATCGCAGTGTTTGGTTGCAAAGTCGCGCTGTGTTTGCGAATGTTGGTGCCAACAGAACACGACTGCAAAGCCCCAAGTTGACGATGTTGGAATACCTTGTAGCCGTCGTGTTAATGTCACGGAAAGGGTGCTTTGCTTTGAGAGGCAGCAGAGAAGACATACGTGTTGACCTGTAACCCATGTAAAACAAAAGGAGCAAATCACACGCTTCGGCTTCACAATCCAAACGAATAGGTTGGAGGCCGTCGCTTCTAGGTTGGAGGCCATCGCTATTAGGTTGGAGGCCGTTGCTTCTAGGTTGGAGGCCATCGCTATTAGGTTGGAGGCCGTTGCTTGTAGGTTGGAGGCCAACGCTTCTAAGTTGAACGCCATGGCTCTGAGGTTGGAGGCAGTTGATATTAGGTTGGAGGCCATCACTTCTAGGTTGAAGTTCATTGCTTCTAGGTTGGAGGTCATCGCTAGTAGGCATTCACACCAGACTTTCTCGCTGGTCCCACAACAAATGCCTCATGCAAGGCCCGCATCTTGGCTGCTGCCTTCCATGTACCACG